GTGCCGGTGGCGGGGAGCGGGTCCTCTCCGTGCCTGTGCCGCCCCGGGAGCGCCGTGTTGAGGTCTCTGCCGGTCTGTAGGGATGCGAGCGCTTTGTGTTTGTCACAGCCCTGTGTGCAGTGCGAGAGGCTCGATCTCAAAGTTCAAAGGCATTTCCTGCTTTGGATGTTGTTTATTGTTTGGCATAAAGGCGCTGTTTGTCCAAATGGCATTTCTGATCAATACGGCAATAACATACTTTTAATTTGCAGGGGAAAAGACGCATGAAAAATAGTTTAAAGTGCTTCTCTCCGGTGTTCGTCAAACGCTGGTGCTTTGTGCTCTGTAACCCTGAGGAAGGCAGCTGCGCCCGTGGCACTGAAGCAGAATGTGCTCATTGTGTCGGGGGAATAAAGCCCCTGTTGTCCAGCGCCGCTGCAGCAGGGACCAGCCCATTCTGCTGAGCCCTCAGCACCCTCACAAGTGCTGTCTTGAGTACCCTTATTTTGTTTAATGTTCTCAGATGTGCTATCTTCTGCAGACAGCAAAACAAACACTCCTTGCTAACGCCTTTTCTTTTCCTCATGGCACTTTTCTTATCTTCCTGCTTTCTTTGGTTTGTTTTGTGTTGTTTTGCTAGAGTTGGTTTGACCAGCACTGCAGCAGCAGCAGCAAGGTGTTACTGATATTAAAGGTTAGCTCTGCCCATCCACTCTCGACTGCACTTTTAATGTAGCAGATCTCTTTGTGTGTGAGTTAAGCTTTTTTTTTCCTAGCTGACTTTCACATTGGTTTAGCTCTGTTACCCTTGGTTGTTTTGTTTGCATTGTGTTGGTCTAATCACTCAGCAGATTTTTAACAAAGAACTAAGGGTCTGTAACTCTGTGTCCCTTGGCTCTGAGCACAGTGGCTGTGAAGCGGAAGCGCAAATAAGCAGCAAATGAGGGCGGGTATTGAAGACGTTGGTTTGTTCTGAGATGTGCAGGGCATGACGGCTCCACTCGACTTCTCTTGCAGATTGACAGGCAGCAATTTGAGGAGACTGTGCGAACACTGAATAACCTCTATGCAGAAGCTGAAAAACTTGGGGGCCAATCTTACCTTGAAGGGTGTCTCGCCTGCCTGACTGCCTACACCATCTTCCTGTGCATGGAAACGCACTATGAGAAGGTGCGCTGCCTCTCTCCTTTGTTGCTTCAAAGGCAGTCTGTCTCGTAGCCTTCAGCCCAAGAATTACTTCTTGGTAGGATTTCCGTGACTTGCACTGTTGCACAAATCCCACATGGTCTCTGGCTCTTACCACAGAGCGATTTCACACGCGTCAGACAGACTTGTCTGTGCTCATCAATTTGAGTCACGTAGTGACTGCTTGTATTGAGGAGAGCCGTGCGGGCTCTCCTGCTCTGTAGCTGTGGTGTTGCTGTGCTCTGACCTTGGGAACTCGATGACTTCTGTGCTGCTCTGTTACCAGGTTCTGAAGAAAATTGCCAAGTTCATTCAGGAGCAGAACGAGAAGATCTACGCTCCTCAGGGCCTCCTCCTGACAGACCCCATTGAAAGAGGACTACGAGTTGTATCCTTCTGTGCTTTCTTAGACCGCCTCCTGCTTTGTCCATCCACGATGTTTATCTGTGTGTTTTATTCTCAATGTGTTTTGTGCACTTTTCTGTGCATACACCAAAACATTCACTTGAGTAGAAGCCCTTTCCGTTGGTTTAGTGACTTAGCAGCTGTAGAAGTGTTACCTTTTGTCTAGTGCATAGCCTTCCCTGAAATGTGACAAGGATCACAACCCCCCTGTGCACTCTCGTCATCTGCTGTTAGAGCAGTCTGGGCTGGATCCATCGCTGACCTGACCTGACAGCGTCTCTGACAGGCACTGCCCCGTGTGCTTTGTAGCTCTGAAACCAGCCCTGAAACAGCTGATAGGAAGCAGAAGGATCAAAGGTTCTATTCCCTTAATGTTTTCTGCCTTTTTATCTTGGTACATTTTCATAATCATGTATTTTTTAATTTTCATGTAGTAAGTTTCCCTAACAGTTGTTCTGCGCAGATTGAAATTACCATTTATGAAGACAGAGGCATGACCAGCGGGAGATAAAACCGTGGAGTCCCAGGTAGGTGTTCGCCTTATACTGGATCAGTCCAACCAGTTTTCTGTGCTCAGAGGGGCAGATTCTCTTGTACCGACACAGCGTGTTTGTCCCACCCCTGTCTGTAATCGAGGCTGTTCACATAAGTCAGAGCTTACACAGCCTCAAGGGAAAAAGCAAGTTGCTATACTTCGTGGAGTTACTAAATTCTTTCAGTGCTTTTTCTAACTTGCCTCTGCTGTACATCTCAAGGGTTTATCTTTTGGTAGCGCTACGACTGACCCATATTTACAGTGCATATAAACCAGATTAATCTACTACAAGCTGCAGCAAACTGTGAAGCAAAACGGTGAAGACTCTGGCTGCTGCATACCTGTTTGTAAACAGCTCTGGGTTGTAACTTGGCATCGCTGGCAGGTGCCAGTTGTGTCCCACAACACCCGCCCTTATCTGGTTGTTGGCACTTGGGAACCTGTTGTACTGCATGGCACTTGTCCTGATGTCGGAACAAGTTTGTTTTATCAGCTGCATCTGCATGCGCTTGGCACAAGCCATTTGTCATGAGTCATTTCACAGCAGTGAGTGCAGAATGTTTTCCTGGCTGGTGCAGGTTTTGAGCAATTACCTAACAGTTCCTAATAATACAACATTTCTTCCCCAGCAGATAGCTCGACAGTGGACTTGCTGTATCAAAGTTCCCCTACCTCCTACTTTAGAGCATCATTCCTTTCTCTGCTGCCAGATCCGCAGTGCCATCTACTACAAGGACTAACTTCCTGAAAGTGCTCCACATGGGGTGACATAGCTGATCAGCATCCATTTTGTGGCAAACTTTTAAGCAATGAGATCACTTTTTAGTGTTTTTTGGGGGTTGCTTTTTTTTTCTCCAAGAAAAAGCAGAAGCGGTGAAGCCACACTCTCTTCTGAGAGAAACGGGGCACTTGGCCGGACAGAAGTCCAGTTTTAGTCACAGAAGCGCAGTGCTGTTCCTCCCTCGTTCTCAAACGCTGCCGTACATCGATCGGGCTTTGGAAAGCAACAAGGCAGAGCTGGGAATTCTCCAGAAATGAGGCCTTCCCTCCAGCTCAGCCCTGGAGCGAGGGGACACGCAGTGCCTCTGCCTGGCGAGAAGTG